AAAAAAAAAAGAATCTCTATAGCAGAGAAATATATAAATAAGTTGTGTGTTCATAAGGAGAAAAATCAATATTGAATACGTATTATTATAAGCTCAACGTTGAGAATTATTACAACGGATGATACCACACCATATGATAGTGTATACAAATTAAATTCTGCAATAAATTGATTGGCCTGCGTCATACGGATTTGTGTAAATCATATGAACCGGATCATTTATGCCAGTCGATTAATTGAAGAAAAAACATGAGTAATCCTAATTGACATCCAAGGTTTATATAAATCTAGACTCCCCTGATATCGAAACATCATTCATCTAAGAAACATTTGTATTGGTTAAATATTATGTTAATCAACAAGCAGTATCAAATTCAATTTATAGATCCAGATAGCTAAAAGGCCAACTGAGCTGAATTGTATGCAAACAATTATAAAGTACACAATTAGCAAAGAATAGAAAGCATAGAGATGGGCTGAAAATGGACAATTAGTAAAGAGTACTGAGCAATCAGCCCCTCACACATTTGTACTTCGTTTTATACACAAACAACATTATTTTTATCTTTTAGTTAACAATACCTTGAAATTCTGATCAGGTGAAGGGAATATTGAAAAAGGATTGATTTCTTCTTCAGATGGTTTAGCTGGAACTGCTTCTTCAACAACTGCTTTCTCCTGACAAATCAATGCTAGAGTAAATTAAAATGCATTGTCACATAGATATATAGTTACAAGAATAGTAAAAATTGGAAATCCAAATTTTCAAGGACAGAAAATGTGAAAATCTGCATCACTTAATTTTTAGGAATGCTGAAAACCCACTCAAAATGTTCTGGCTATTTTTAGCATTCTGAAAAATGAAGGAACATGATTGTAAAATATTTGATGAATTCAGAATATTCCGAAAGATCAACTTATAGTTGGGGCCAAATGTAAGATGGAACCACACACCCAAATGTGATTCTTTCAATATAGATAAGTTTTTTTTTTTTTTCTGTAAATACCCTTTAACATCGGCAGTAGTTTTTGTTACTATCCCAATATATANNNAAAAAAAAAAAAAAAAAAAAAAAACAAGCTTCAACACAAATCAGATTGGCTCACCTCGGCTTTGACAGGCTTCTCTTTCTTCTTTTTTGCAGGTTTTTCATTGTCTGCAGCTGTCTTCTCACCCAGCAGAGCATACAATTTGCTATCAATGATTTGCTGCCACAACAAGTTTCCCCCATCAAAACTTTAACAAATTAAATGAAGAGAAACATTCATTTCAATATTCTGATTCAGCATCCCAAGAAAGAGTCGACGAGCCACAAAGGAACTAACAATAATACCTTCACAATCTTTGGGTCAGCCCATGGCTGTTTCTTTCTTACATAACCAAAAAGTTCACCAACTGCATCCAACCAAATTGTTGATCAAAATAGCTGGGTTATTGATAACATCATCAATTTCTTAAAACATTGAAAGGTCAGCAATATGGCCCAACATATTACACAGCATCCACACAAAAATAAAAGAAAGCATGATAATAACTAAGTCATGTTCCTAGTTTTCTGTTCAATACATAACCACACAAAGCGTCAACAAGCCATGGTCTTGAGAAAGCTAAAAGAAAAGAGGAATAGCATATCCATCATCAATGTAGACAAAGACTATTTGAGGGTTCACGATTCCTATCAAGCCATAGAAAAAGGTAAACAAACCATTTGTTCGATACCGCTGCTCCACAATAACAGCTTTATTCTCTTCAAAAATTTCATTCACTGCATGTTCAATATCTTCAATAGTAACCTCAACTCCTGTTTCATTTCATGATACCAAAAACAAAAAGGTAATTTGATTCAATGATTAATTGCAAGAGAACACTTTTACATTATGATCTGTAAGAAGTAACCAGGTCTACAGAATATATCATTCTTAAAGCTGCCCTGATACAGACAATATAATCTGCATTGGACATAATTTGCTTGGCATACACCGGCAGCACAAAAGTGAAGCCATAAGTGAGGGG